GCACGGAATCTTCTCCAGGAGGTCGAGGATTCGGCAGAATAAGAGAGAGACAGAGAGAGACAGAGGGTGACACAGAGAGAGAGAGAGAGAGAGAGAGAGAGAGAGAGAGAGAGAGAGAGAGAGTGAGAGAGCGAGAAAGGGAATGATAATGAGAGAGATGGATAGAGAAGATGGTGGAGAACAAAAATCATAATTTACACAAATAATCGAAATTCAAAGCTGCTACAGCGTATGGAATACTAGATCAGCAATAACAATAACAACAACAACAACAACAACGACAACAGCCACAACAACAACAACAACAACAACAATAACAACAATTTAATCATCATCCTCATCATTATCATCTTCATCACATCAGCATCATCATCATCATCATCATCATAAGCAACTATCAAAATCTGAGAGAAACACTACAAAAACTGCAGTGAAATCGATTGAAAATCAGCAACAGACCTACAACAAATGCTTCGGGTTTTTACAACAGTTACGGTCTTAGTGGCGATAAAAGATTCATGAACTAAAATAGCTCATATTTAGACAGTCACGCAGTGAAAACACGCATGGGTGACAAAACTGACAGGAGAAAATAAAAACTGTTTCCATATTTGATAACAATTGTGAGTAAAAGGATCATACTCTCTGCAAAATACACAAAAGCTGGAGCAAATCAATTTCAGGTTTGTACAGATGAAAAGGAGCAACGTGACAACCAGTCCACAACCCGATAATGGACAGATCGTGTGGTCGGAGGGAAAAATAGAACAACATGATCTCGAAGCGTTCTCTTTGCAAAACGCACCATTCGCCAAAACCGGGGATTTCTGTATTTGGGGGAAAATCTCGACGACACCATATTCTTACGTTGTAGAATAATATTGTTGCGGGATCATTTTTTTCTTTTCAAAATGCACTGTAACCCTTGATATTTAGTACTAGCTGGGTACCAGTTCGATGAACGGACTCAGCAGAATCGATCATTGATCGTCAAGTCATTGTGGAAACAGTGTGCAGTGCTTGTGAATGGAAGCCTCACTTGTTTACAATGGCGTCTTAGAAAACGGACCTTCCCAAAATTAGATCAAAACGGAACTACTGAAAAACTGAAAATTAAACTACAGTTACTTCAGACACCTTAATATAACTGAGCACCCTTTAAATGATTCTGAACCACCGTTAATTTTCTTCAAATTCGAAAGTTAAGTGGTTTGGAAGTCTTAGGCGACCAAAATGACGAACTTTCACAAATATAATAAGTTTGGTATAGATTACAAAACTGCATTTCTTTTATACTTTTATTTTCAGAGATTTAAGGGGGTCGGTTTCCTCTTATTTCTCAGTTTCGTAGTAAATGAATATAATGAGTTTTGTCACGGAGCCATTCATGTGTGCACTGAAATAACAGAAAAATGGAACAGCTAAAGGCTCTGGCTATGAATAATTATGGGACATATAAACGAGCAAAAAATGGACAGAACAAACAGGGAAGCGAAAAAATTGATAGGCTGGTAACAAAAGAAGGTGATATCAAGAGTTGAGAGGTTAGCATACACCCACTAAAACTCATGCACTGAGACTTAGAGAGAGAGGAGAGAGGGGGGCGGGAGGGAGAGAGAGAGAGAAAGAGAGGGGGGAAGACAGACACAGAGACCCACAGATACACAGATACACTGACACACAGACGGAGACAACGAGAGAAAGATAGAGGCAGATTGAAAGACAGACAGACAGACACAGAGAGAGAGAGAGAGAGAGAGAGAGAGAGAGAGATGGGATGGAAATAGAAAGGCTGGGAAAGAGAGACCCAGAAAAGTAACATAGCTTTGGTAAGGCCCAGCCCGAGGAGATCACTCAGCGAACAAACGAAACCGGACGGAAGAAGACAAGATCAAATTATGTCCACAACGAATCGCTCTCCCATCCCGGGGAAGAATAATAAATAAGAGACGTTATAATTATGCTGTCGTTGCGCAGTCAGCAAAGCCGGCTGAAAGAGAGAGAGAGAGAGAGAGAGAGAGAGGGGGGGG